TGTTTTCTAAACTGTCCCCTTTTTTGGCATTAATATGTATTACTCTGTACAGGATCTCCCATCGTGATTCTGCTTTCAGAGCGATCACTGAGTTGAGTCATTGCATTTCTAACTGTAGGCAGCTGGCAAGTTCATATGATCCAGTTTGCTTTCAGGTAATTAATATATGTAATGTTATAGATACACATTTCTCTTATTATCTCTAGGGGTTTTATAAGCTTTTTTTTTTCTTATGATTTTGCTGATTCCTCTCTGATATATGGTTTTGTTTGTATCAAAACCAGGGAAAATCAGTTTCCAGATTTCATGATAATTCTTCAGAACTTCAGTGAAACTGTAATTTTCTGTTACTGTTTTACCTAAGTATATAGCATAGATACTTGCATGGCACAGTTTAAGTGGACTTCTCAATGCAGAGATTACTGGAAATGTACATGTTCCAACACTGGAAGAGAAAAAACAAGTAACCTTATTTAATACCTTCTGAAATAACCTTGAGAAATGAACCTTAGGTAAAAGTCACCTAGCATTATTGAAATTGTTTTACTAAACCATGTTTTCACTGATGGCTTACTTTGACAAATGGAATTTCTGTAGCATTTTCCACTTGCATCTGAGCAGTCTTGCTTTGAGGGCTGCAGTCTGTATACTGCAATTGTCTACAGGGCTAGTGTAAGGTAACGATGCTATTTTTCATGGGCATTTTTGCACAGAAACATCTTGTGAAGGCATTTTTGAAGAGTACATGTCAATGTCAGAACTTCACCCAACAGAAATGTAGCTCTGTTCCTTCCTGATTTCCCTCCAAAATATTTCCCTCCAAAAGAGAAAAGACTTCTCAGTTAATTGATATTTTTTCATTTGTGGAAATACAAGGCGGTTTTTCTCACTCCATTAAAAAACATTGTAGACTGTTACATACATCCAGTTCAGTGTTTCTTTTCAACTATTACCTCTCTGCTACTAAAGCACCTCACCAGGTACCACATATTTTAGGATAAAGAATAACACCTTAAGGAAGAACACCTTAAAAGTCTTTAAGAGAATGAAAAAAAAGACAGAGACTATGAATCAAGCTAATATTTTCCAGAGAAACTTGGAGGTGCAAAGTCAGCTGCCTGTGGTAAAAATATGAAAGAATTTCTTATATTTTAAGGTTCAAAACTAGAGCAGGGATTTTTTTTGTACCAATGAAAAATATGGATTTACACTAAAAATAACCCTCCTGCAGGTATATGGATGAGAGTGTCTAAAACCTAGTATTTTCAGTGCTTAACACAAAAATTGAATTTTTCAAGGAAATTAGTGCTTAATTTAATATCTAATGCTCCAGTGGCAGAAAACATCTGTGAAAACCTTCAATCCCCTCTGCTCAGCACACAAACCAAAGGCTTGTTGCTTACATAGTCTCCTGGTGAAGGGCTTCACATTACGTTATATACAACAACTCCTCAGAAGATACAGCCTAAACTGTATCTTACAGTATTTTTCCACCTTAGATTCTCAGGCAACCTACTATTATGCCTATCTTTTTGTAAGGCAAGGTAAGACAAGGAAGGAATTATTTTAAAACCATTAGTTTCATTAGTTTAAAACCATTAGTTTCATTTAAAAACCATTAGTTTAAAACCATTAGTTTAAAACCATTAGTTTCATTTAAAAAATGTTAGTTTACTTCAAAATAGGGCAGCAAGTTCAGCATATCGATGAAACATACTGGATGCTTAGTGCAAAGTACGATTTTATCTGAATCCCAAGCACACACATCCATTTAAGAATCATGTTTCACGTGGGACCTTCTGCCTCAGCCGTGCGGTGTGCTGCTCTGCCACCCACTGGCCTTTTTATTCCTGACAAAGACAGTGCAGGGGAAGAACAAAAACCTGTTTTCCTACAGACGTGAAAATGGTTATTCGAACAGACCCACCTCAGCTATCTTCACAGCAAATGAAGCATCACTAGCACATAGTATCTGTACTCTTCCAGAACAAAGAAGGATGTCTAAACAAGCATTGCTCAAGGACTGGGACAGACTTCATCCAGCGCGCAACCTAGCTGGATCACAACTCTCCTGGGTACCACAGAGCTGCTGAACTTCCCACATATTTTGGACTCATATTTAAGAGATGAGTGTCTTTCACTGGCATGAAAAAGGAGGTATGAATGACCCACGACTTGGAAAGTTAAGCCTATTGTTTAGATATTTAATTGTGGATTGACTTCGTAGGGCCTAAAGTGAGGCTACATTTGCTAAAATCAAAATTTAGAAGGGAGAGAGGCCTTGGATTCTACTCACCTGTCTGAAAGAGTTAATACCAAATGTGGAAAAAAGAATTACCACAGACTAGAAAGCTCTCTCGTGGCCTTTGCAATTTCTGTGTTGATGTCTCAGGGTTAAGTTTTGCATGCTGCAGACCATCTTTTCTTGTCCATAGGAGTACTAGCATTGAGTAGCAAAGACCATTTTTGTATTTCCAGCTCTTCACAAGTTGTTTTTATGTTTTGAAAATTAAAATGAGTTCTGAAACAGAACTGTCACACCCTTGAAATGTTTTGGAAATCTTCCGTAGTTTTACATAAAAATGGAAAATCTTTTCCCCAGTATTAAAAGCAATTAACAGATTCACAGTTTCTATTTTAACCTGAAAAAGAACAAAATCTTAATTGCTTTTGATTTAATATAAGGCATAAATATGTTACACCATATTTCCATGCTCACATGAAAGCACAGCTTTTTATGAGGGACATCCAATAATCTGCAATGATTAACAAGAGCCCTTTCTGTGCCAAACATCCAGATAACCCAGACCTATACACCCTCCTATCATGCAGTGTCAGTGATTAGAGCAGTGATTCAGAATGAGATTATCTTAGTTTCTGAAGCATTATTCAGTATGGAGGCCCCGCAGCTAATGTCTACCAAAGCGTGATATGTACCATAGGGCACAACTGGTATTCAATATGCAAAAGCAGATCTCTGCTAACACATCTAAGGTAAAGGTAAAATACTGAAAAGTCCAGTGATTTGACCACAGCAAACCAGAATGAGGGAGCAAATATATCATGACATTACCAGAAACATATCAGCAGAGATGTGTGTTTATCTTCACTGACATCTGCTCCCAAGCAGCACCCTTATTAGCTCATTTGTATTCAGTAATTATCTTACGATTGTTTAGCTAGAATTTATGCAAATTAGGGTAGAGGAGATACGAAATTTCACTGGGTGCTAATTAAGTCGCATAGGGTTTACTTCATGGGAATTCTGCAGAAGGAACACAATCAGATTCACTGGTTTTGGTGGTAATCACCTGTGCTGAACTGCTTGAGCTGAAGACAAGCACTCAAGTGCAAAATATAGTATTTTACATTATCTTTTTGATCAAGTATTCATCAGAATAACATAATAGACTATTTATTATACTTTTAATATAGCCCAGTACACTTTATTAGCTAACATTTTTCTTTGAGACCATGTTCTAGTTGTACCAACAGTGGGAGAAGCCTAGCCTCAGGTAGGGTTTCTGATCCCTGTTTTGCCCTGTCTTGGTCCTCAGACAAGTCAGGAACTCGTGCTAGCTGACTAGGCTCACACTCAGTTACCCACGAACATTTTCTCTTCATGTCTGAAGTAAAAGCATCCTCTTGTAACCTGATATAGGTGGGGATGTCCCTGCTCATTATGGGGGATTGGACTAGATGACCTTTGACGGTCCCTTCCAACCCAAAATATTCTGTGATTCTGGCCAGTGTTAAGAATGAGTGATGTCAGCTCATAATCACAGATGTGGTTTCAGCAGATGTTAAGCATTCATATTTCCAGTTCAGCAAAAAGAACAATTACAGGACTTTACACAATGACAGGGACAGAGCTAAAACAATAGGACCACCATCTAAGGCAACAGGCAGAAAGATTTTCTTGTTGCAAACAGGCATTAGAGAAATATTTGGCAAGCTGTGGCAGCAAAAAAATTAAGGGAAGAAGCCAGCAGACAGAAGGAAACAGTTTGGTCCAAGAAGAGGGAAAGAGTAAGTGTGCTTCCTAGGGAACAGAACCATGTGGGTGTAGTGAACCACCTATTAATGTCTGTTCCTTCTGTGTTGGAGGGAATTACAACTTTTGTTTGATCTAGACCCTCGGTTCATAGCTGTTCCCCTGTCTCCACCTATGACTGATCGCACTTGTATAGATGTTGAGCTCCAAAGTGTCTGTAGAAGAGGAAAAGAACTGAGTTTCAGCATTTCTGTGCTCTCCAGACTGAATCCACTCATGCCTTCACTTGTCTATATTTGTACAATAAATTTTTCTTTATAGTTCAGGTTATCGGCATCTTGAGAAAGGAGATATCAGAGGTGTTTTTTTAACAAGCACCATGCCTGCCCATATCACCATGACAATAATTATAGTTCTGGATTGCTTTCTGTGGATTGTGTGTCTCAGGCAAAAGTGAAAAGAAATAAATTAGAGGTATTATAGTAGCCGTGATCACAATTCTGAATGAAGCTGTTGTGCACAGTAATTTAGATTTACATTTTTTAAAAATAGCTGTCAAAATTGTATGTCAATCTGTTAGCACAATGTTTAATTTATCTTTCTCCTCAGCAAGGTTGCCTGGAAACAGGGAAATAGTCTGAGAAATCCCTTTGTGAAAGTGTGGTATCACTTGCGAAATCAGTATGACCACTTTATGACTGCTATTTTTATTCAAAGATTTAGAACCCCTGAAATTAAAAAAAAAATAAATAAAAGCACCCCCCGTAAAAAAAAACAACCTACCCCTCCAAGACACCCCCTCCAAAAAAAAAATCCAAAACCAAAAAACCCCAAACAACCATAACACACACCCCTCCCCCCCCCCCCAACCCCACAACAGACAGCTTTTAGTAATTTTTAAATACACCTGGTACAACTAGCAACTTGGAAGCAGGACTTTGTTCAGCACACAGCAACCATTTCTAACCACAGGCCATGAAATTGCAGCATAAAGCACAGTAAAAGCATGGGAGTATCTATACTTCGTGCCTGTGACTGGCAGAGGAACAGAAGTCTCATGGCCAGAGTAGCTTGTTCAAATGATAGTACTGAAGAGACATCCATCTACATCTGCTGTCAACTCATATATCGTTCCATGCTGTGTGTGGCTGAGAAGGGCAAGGAGGCAAGGACACACAGCAACAGAGAGATGACTGGCTTAGTTATATTAACTCTTCAAGGGGAGAAATGATCGTGCAAGATTTTTCAGAAATACAGCTCCACACTGCAAGTCTCTCATCTGCCTGTGGGGACCTCTCTGCTGATGAATAATGGACTTTAGGGAACACTTACAAAATATAAGCATCAGCCACTGCTAAGAGCTTTTTGAACAGCTAGGTTACAGGATTTCTTCTAATGCAGGCGATTTATCAAAGCTCTTGATTTTTTTTCTTTATTGGATTATACAGAGGTTTAAGAACCCAATACATCCTTAACTGTGTGAAAAAAACCCATCATCAAGTTACTCTCCTGAAGTTCTTGGAACACATGTATGAGTTTAAATGGACTGCTTGCTCAGGCTCCATCATTCTTTGCCTGCTGCATCTTGCTACAGGTTTTGCAGACCTAAAGGTGACCCTGACCCTGGCACTACTTTCCCCTTTCCCCCTGCAGCTGTGCTCTTCTATCTTCCACATTTCTCAGCATCTTGCCTTTGTAGATACCAGATAAGCATAAAAATTGCTGAACTATGAGTATGTTGAATACTAAGCCGTGAATGCAATAAGCAGAGGTGGCTGGAAAAGGTTTCAGAGGTGTCAGTTGCACCACTGTGCAGTCAGGCCTTGAGGCAGATGCAGGCAGAGCAAAAGAAGAGTAGAAGATGGTGCCTGCTGGAAGAGCAGGGTGAACAGTTTATACCAAATAATTAATATGATGCGCTTCACCATTCTCATTCTTTACAGACTGCCTGTCAGAAGGCTTATGATTTTCCCACTGATTTTTTTCAGGGTAAAAAATATCTAGGTTGACTTCTACCAGTGATATTTGTTATCAGAGGGGACAGAGTGAGCATTCAGAATGCAGACTCATGAATTGCACTGGTTGCTTTTGGCTGTATAAACATGCCTTTCTTCAGTCACCTTACCTGGATAGTGGCATTCTTCAAACCCTGGTCCTGTTACAATTGAATTTACTCCAGGATCCCTGTTGACTTGCATGATGTGAAACAATATCCTGCAGTCATATGTTCAACTCAACTCTGTGCAGCATAGGTACTCACACTGAAAATAAAAACAAATAAACAAATAAAAACTGCTCCACATGCAGGAATTTTCCTGTTCAAAAGGTCTTATACCTGGAGGACATGACAATAAAATGTATAGGTCAATTCCTGTTGTTAGATCTGAGTAAGAGAAGTGTAATTCAGTTGTTGCCAAAAGTCATTCTACATTGATATATTTAACAGCAAAATTTGACACAAGGCAGGAAGGCCAAGAGCTCATATCAAGCAACGTTCTGAGTTTTGTGGCCTTCAGCTAGAGCTAGGATGACTCACATAATGTAACATGCAGTTCCAATAACCCTACAGGGATGGTGTTCAAGTAAAATGTAAATTATGGTGAACTTATGCATCCCTGGAGATTTACTCAAAGAGAATACAGAGATGATTGCCTTTGGGATGAATGAAGGCTGCAGTACTCACTGTGCTATACCCACATTAGCTTCTGTGAGCAAGACATGAAGAATGATGGCAACAGAAAGCAGAGAATTGTTCTCGGGAGGGTTCCAAAAGAGCTGCTCCACGGGTGAACGCTCATCAGAGAAGCTGGGGTATCTCCAGGGCAACTTGTTTCTATGACACTGCTGACACAAGCATAAAGTATTGATCCGTACAACCCTATAGATGTAGGCCTTGGATTTCAGCAGTCTTTCAGTAAAGTCTCCCACTGTACACTGCTGTAGCACTGTTTTCAAGAGCAGTTAATTCAGGGAGAAAATACAGCAGCTCTCTGGTCACCAGCACATGCACTCAGATGCGTGTGGCCTCTCTGCTACCTGTGCATATGTTCACATGCTAGGGTATCTAGGCAGATGGGAAAGTTTTAAGCATAGGCAGGACAAGAAACAGTTATCAAGATATTGTTATCAAGACTCAAAACACATAAGTTTTTTTTTGCATGTTTTTGTTGTTGTTGTTTCCCTCTCCCCCTACCCCGTGAAATAACCTTAACGGTATTTGATTTACAATTTACCAATGTGGGGATAACTTTGGTCCTGTTTCTTAAAAATGTGTAATAGAAATGCTAGTACTTTAGGAGGTTGTGGTAGGGGAACATGGGAATTAATAGGCTCAGTCACCTGAGTTCTACGTCACCCCTAACCAGCTAGCACCTCCTGGGAGCATTCTTTATAGTCTATTCATTGCTAAAGGCTGTGGTGAGGGTGTGCTGTAGTTTTACTCCCTGACAGCTCCATTTACCTCACCAGACGTTACACTTGGAAACTGAGAAGTGCTAATGTACTCTGTTCCCTTATCTGAGACAGAGACAAGCAAAGTGGTCACAAAACTGAGCATTTTTCTCTGCACTGCCTTGTCTTTGTTGTGGTCCTTAAGAAGACTGTGGTCCACAAAAGGGGCATTTCAGGGGGGCACTCTAACTGTTGAAGCAGAAGTCTTTATTCAGAGGGATCTTTAATTAGCAGCTGTAAAGAAATGCTTGTGTGGGAAGTTGCATAAGATACACTCAAGGTTATGATACTAAAAGCAAGTGTGGAACTTGAACAGTACGGCAAGATAAAGGAAAAGGGATATGAATAGGAAATTACAGATGAGTTTTCAAGATGGCTTGGTTGTGTCATTGAAACTGATCTTTGTGCAGCCTGCATAAAGTTTTCTAGCCCAGGCATTGCAAGGGATACACTAACATGAAATTCTTTTCTGGTCTGCCTTGTGTTTGCAGGTATTTGTTAAGTAGCACAACAGATGTTTTGCTAATGGCTAAGAATTGCCAAACTCTAATAGCAATGTTAATTTCAGAATTTATAATTTGTTAAGTCTGTAGCTCAGATGATGTCTAAGTCCTTACTGTGAATATTCACCGGGCTGATGTTTCCTTGGCCACATGGCTTCTGCATACATATATAACATACAGAGTCTAAAATGTTCTGGAATAAAATTCTGATACAGAGAGAAGATGGGTTTCACTGACTTATTCGCTCTCCTTCCTTAGACACCTAAGAACAACTAGCCACTGCATTTAGACTAATTACAGTTAGCCAGGTTAACAAACGCTTGTCTATGTGAAGAAGCTCCATTAAAAAAATACATTTATCTCAGGATCGTAGGAAGCATCTTCTCCCTCATTGTTTTACAGATCTCCCCACAGCTAACAGCACATTGCTGTACTAATACAAATCTGCACAAATATAAACCGAGCTGTTTCATGGCAGCAGGAGGAAAACAGACTAACTTAATTTGTGGAATTTTCTTCTTCATCCTTAGAACAGGTGGGAGTTCAAAAGGTATAAAATAACCTGGAGAAGCTCAGAAGCTGGTACCTCCCTGTGCTTGACAGCAGCACTTGTGGTGGATATGCTGCCCTCCTCAAGCCACCTGCCCTGAAAAATCTCACTGCTGCCTTCAGACCATTAAAGCAGGACAGGCGCCACTCCAAGAAAGATCATTATTTTCGTTCATTTTAATTACCAAAACACAATTCAAAACACAAAACCCGGCCTTACCAGCCACCAAGCCGCAGCGTCTCCTAGTGCCCTCAGAACGCTTCTGCCACAGGGCGGCGGCCTCCTCTCTCATCTCGCGGGTGTTAAGATGGCGGCAGGCGAACCATGAGGAGGGAGTAGGACTTGCATGAGTAGCCGCATCCTTTTCCTAACAGGGGCACAGTCTGCGCTAATAGGAACGGGGAGATCTGAAGGGATTGGCTGCTTGTACCTGCTCTGCATCTGAAGACGTTCCAGGCGGCGGCTGCAGCCTTCCCCTCCGCGGCTGGCTCCGTGAGCCCTGGTTCCGTTCCTGTGGGGCCTCAAACAGAACTGGGGCATCTCTGCGAGGGAAAGGCCCACCCGAGGAATGAGTAATTTACTAATTTAACAAATTAGTTTACAAAATTATTGAACAAAATATGGTGACAGAGCTGCTTGTCCTGGCCTCAAAAGAATGTATCTACTCAAAGCTCCCTTGGCAGCAGTGAGGGTTTTACTGGGGTTTTGGGAACTCTGGTAAAGCAGCACAGGGGTATTTCTGATGAAGGAGATAGACGAGAGGAAATCACATTAGGGTAACTAAAGGGAGCGGGTAGGTTGTAATTGCTCTAATGTGCTTGTTTGTTTTTACAGCTGATGGCATGACTGGCTTTGCTTTTTCTTGCTTAAATGAGAATTTTCTCGTAAGGAGGTGGAGGTGCTGGTAAAGTGCGTCACAAGCAAAGATTGCACAGCCTTTGTGCAGTAGTGCATCTCAGAGACAGGAAGAACTCTATTCTGATGTAAAAGATGCTGCTACCAGGTTTTCTTGAGAGATAAAAATGAGCTTTGTATTTACACTTGGGAAAACAGTAAATAGGACAGGGAGCAGAACTGTGCTTGGCTGATGGCAAAAAATTTCTACTGTTTCATTTTCCCCCTCCTAGATATTTATCCCCATAGCCCTTCTTGGCTCTTAGTTGTTCTGAAATAGAAAAATTCTTAGCAAATTTCACCTCAAACTGCAGAGTAAAACAAATAATCATAAATACTTTGACAAAAATTGGATCAAACACTAACCTTGATGAGAGTTGTCCATGATCTGTATATATCCTCTGTCAAAGCGAGGGAGTTTTGCCTCTATTGTGTAATGCCCAAGCTTGTAGATATATCACCTCAGAAAAGATGCTAATGGAGTGTGACAGCTAGTATAATTTTATTTTTGTATTAAAGGAGCATAAGCTGTAATAGAGAAGGGGCCCACTCCAAAATTAAACCAGAATCAAACATGTTTTTGGGTTTTGTGTTTTCTTTTTGCCTATTTCCTTCAAACTTATTAGCAGAAATTAATATGCCATGTATGACCTAGTTTTACAATGGCTTTCTCTTGCTGTAATTTTTATCTGTGATCTTGGAACCTCAAATTAGTGACCAGTGCACCTCAGATGGCATACAGCTGTACCCTGCATGTGACAGACAGAATCTCTAGGCACAGAAGAACCCTTATTTTGGAACTGGATTATCAAGGTAATTAAGCTTTATGAGCTTGAGTTGTGCATGGCACAAGTGGTAAAATTCATCTGCGAAAGGACGGCCTTGTAACACCTGCAGCCACCTTCTCTTTTTTTTTTGAGCAAAAGGCCCCATGGGGTTCACTGAGACTGCAGCATGCCAGCATATAGCCCTGCACTCATTTCTGATGGATGCACCACTTGAAGCTGCTGTAGCAAGAGATGGGGAAGTAGAAAATACTTCTTACATCCCACTGGGCTCTGTCAGGTGGGATTACTTGCTGTTCTAATGTTGTGGTTTATTTCTAGAAAGAAAATTAACTCTGTCGGACCTGAAACCAGGCCATATCTGCAGCCCAACTGAATATTGAGTCCAGGCAGCTGACTGTCAGGCTGAGGTGTCCAATGTGCACGATAGTCAGTCTGCACAGGAGATGTAGTTTCTCATGTGGTTGCATTTTCGTCTCCAGGCCTAATCCCTGATTTCTTGCCAGAGCAGGAAGCAAAGCTCATTTTAGCCCAGTTTTGCAGGCCCAGGGAGTTCAGGTAAAGATTGGCTCAAGTATTTAAATTTTCTCATTTCCTCCAGAACTTTGAAGTGCTTCTCATGTATTCTGCTGCAGCTGGCACTAATGAAAACTACAGGTGTAAATGTAAGATGTGACCCAGAGAGTCAGGTTCCCATTTTCGTGCAGTGTAAAGCATCTGTTCCAAATTCAGCACGTGTAACCTCACCCGCTGATGCTAAAAGGAATTATGTATGTGAAATGAATAGAGGGCATGCCACGTACATGAGTTGAGCAAGCCAGTTTATAGTCGCAGTTACCCTGATGTAAAAGTAAGGTAGTTTATTAACTTCTAGTTTATACCCTGATACTCATTAGTCAAGTTTAATAATATATATACAAATGTATTTGCGTTTCTTTTTATCATGGTTGATCTGAGGCTCGGGAAGGTACCTTGTGAGTTTACAGAGCAATCACTATTAATCCACTGGGTGGTGCTGTTGCCGTTTTCTGGATGTACTGTAACGGAGTACAGATGTTTCTTCAGTCTATTTAATTTAGCTAAACTTTTGTCCAGGTGGCATTGTAACCAAGGACAGAGTTTAAACAAAATACTTTACATTTCTTTTCCAGGCACTCAGTCTCTCTGAACAATAAGGGTTCTGTTCTAATTGCCATTTCATGTACCATGTTTTTCAACCGTGTTCATGTCGTATTATTGTTATTCTTAAGTGAATGTTAATGTTCTTTGACCTGGTGCAGGACTGGAGAGGGCTCTGTCCTTCTCAGATTTTTGTTCCTCAGCGTATGAAGTAGTGTGACCTCAGGCTTTTGGGTGACAGCTGTGGACTATGCCATTTAGAAGGGCTTCTTTCTCTGTGAAGCTGTGTAGAGGGGCCTAGTGCAGGAGCCATGGTAACACCTCTTGCTCACCAAGTGGTGTGTGATAGTCACCTGTGTCCTCCTGTATGTTATGACTGAGCAGAAACAACACAGCTGTTATGAGGTCAAACTTCCGTACATAATGTTACCACATGTTCTTGTCTACATTATGCCCTGAAAGTTTAACTCTGAGAAGAAGAGAATATTTTGGTTCCCATGTCCATAAACTCCTGGCATTTGAGGTGATTGGTAGTGACTCCTACCTATACGATTCTGTACCACCCTAAATAAGTTACTCATTACTTTAGAATTTACTACTGTCTTGTAAAGAATGTTATTATAAAGAATTAGGCTACTTTTATCTGGTTTACCAGCTACAGGTCACACAAGTCACGCTTTTGTTAACTTCTCAGATGACTCTGGCCCTGCAGGCCTTTTTGCCCTTTCCTGAGTTCTCTCTTGTCGTGGTTTAAACCACCCAGACAGGTAATTTGTTCACTCCCCCCCCCCTTCTTGCCCTCCCCCTACTCCCGGAGGGACGGAGAGGAGAATTGAAAAGAATGCAACTCCCACGGGTTGAGATAAGAACAGTTTAGTACCTAAGGTATAACACAGATCACTACTGCTACCACCAATGATAATAAAGGAAATAACAAGGGAAGAGAATACAACACCTCAGCACCAGCTGACCGATCACTCGCCCCCCAAGCCCGACCAAGCTCCGACCGATACCTCCTCCAACCCTGCAGTCTCCCAGCCCTTCCGGCTAACTCCCAGTTACATCCTGGGCATGACGTGCTGTGGTATGGAATACCTCTTTGGTCAGTTTGGGTCAGGTGTCCTGTCTCTGCTTCCTCCTGGCTTCCC